ACCACTAGATTAACAGCAGAACTGCCAACCGGTAGATTAACAGCAGAACTGCCCACCAACTAGATTAACAGCAGAACTGCCAACCGGCTAGATTAACAGCAGAACTTCCCACCAACTAGATTAACAGCAGAACTGCCAACCGACTAGATTAACAGCAGAACTGCCAACCGACTAGATTAACAGCAGAACTGCCCACCAACTAGATTAACAGCAGAACTGCTAACTGACTAGATTAACAGTGGAACTGCCCACCAACTAGATAAACAGTGGAACTGCCCACCAACTAGATTAACAGCAGTACTGCCCACCAACTAGATTAACAGCAGAACTGCCAACCGACTAGATTAACAGCAGAACTGCCAACCAACTAGATTAACAGCAGAACTGCCCACCAACTAGATTAACAGCAGAACTGCCCACCAACTAGATTAACAGCAGAACTGCCAACCGACTATATTAACAGCAGAACTGCCCACCAACTAGATTAACAGCAGTACTGCCCACCAACTAGATTAACAGCAGAACTGCCCACCGACGAGATTAACAGCAGTACTGCCCACCAACTAGATTAACAGCAGAACTGCCAACCGACTAGATTAACAGCAGTACTGCCCACCAACTAGATTAACAGCAGAACTGCCAACCGACTAGATTAACAGCAGAACTGCCAACCGACTAGACGAAAAGCAGAACTACCCACCAACTAGATGAAAAGCAGAACTACCCACCGACTAGATGAAAAGCAGAACTACCCACCGACTAGATGAAAAGCAGAACTGCCAACCGACTAGATGAAAAGCAGAACTGCCCACCAACTAGATGAAAAGCAGAACTTTCCACCAACTAGATAAACAGTGGAACTGCCCATCAATTAGATAAACAGTGGAACTGCCCACCAACTAGATGAACAGCGGAACTGCTCACCAGCTAGATAAACAGTGGAACTGCTCACCAACTAGATAAACCGTGGAACTGCCCACCAACTAGATAAACAGTGGAACTGCCCACCAACTAGATAAACAGTGGAACTGCCCACCAACTAGATAAACAGTGGAACTGCTCACCGACTAGATGAACATCCTTAACCTCAAGCTGCAGTGGGGGGACATTTCAGCATTTTTATTTAAATTGTTTGATTATTTATTCTTTTCATTTCAGATCCTTCCCTTATTTACAATAAATGTGTGGATGGAGAAGAAGGATTTGATGGGGCATTAGATTTATTTCCATCTAATTTTAATGCTAAAGGTGTGCAGCCAGAGTTGTCAGGTGAGACTCTCTGAATATTATCTTCAGACTAGAGCAGGGCTTGAATTTATGGAGGTGATTATTTAGATACCATACATGTATCTGAGATATTTCCTTCACAATTTCTAACCGTTCAAGACATTTTTAGGAATTTGGACCCTGGAATTGGAGCCCCTCCCAAAATTCAAGCCCTGCTTAAAAATGAGGTCATTTTTTTCAGTGAATTACTCTGTTTTGATTTTGTCACAAGATCACAGAGTTAGGCTAAATATTAAAATAACCAATAATATCTATATTTTCCCCACCTTGTGTGTGGGTTCTTATCCAGTTTAAAATTACACAATTCGTGTAACATAGGAATAATTTAGACTGATGGGCACCAATATAGTTGAATACAATTATCTGTATATATGAATAAATACACACACAACACTCACACATGAACTGCAGAAAACATTCAGCTTATTAGGTACAACACATTTTATGCTTGGTATGGTTCTTCTGCTATATGTAGCTCAGTGCTTAAACTTCTTTCACCATGGAGCTACCTCCATGGTTTCACAAACGCCGTTTGTATGCAACACATCACAAGTGCGTCCCATATTATATCTCGAGATTTATTTATTGTATACAACAATGCCACGTGGAGTAAAAAGGAGAACAGGTCCGGAAAAAGAAAGACGGACACTTTGTTAGAGAAAAAAAAGAATGTTATTGAAGGAATCAGACCGTAGCTCCTATCATAACCAAAAAGAAGATGCAATTTTTAGTGCATACTGTACCTAAAGTGACAGCGCCTAGGCAGAGTCCGACTCGGAATATGAAACAGACACAGACAGGATCATACATCTGTACAACAGAAGAAACAGATATGCCTCTATGAAAAAACCTTCTAACAAAAAAAATACCTTTTTATATTTTTTGATTCAGGTAAAATGCAAGTGTTGGATTACATCCTGGCAGTGACGAGAACAACTAGTAGTGATAAAGTTGTGTTGGTTTCTAATTATACACAAACATTGGATTTATTTGAAAAACTATGTCATAATAGAGGATATCTGTACGTAAGATTAGATGGTAGTATGTCTATTAAGAAGAGAGCCAAGATGGTGGAAAGATTCAACAATCCATCTGTAAGTATACATGTACTGTAAAATACTTTGTTTTAGCTGGAATTAATTTTCGCTGGAAACATTCTTTGGGTGTTTTGTATGGTATTTATTTTCACTGATTTTTGAAAAGTTGAATGTAAAGTATAGGAAAAAAGGTATAATCGCTGGATTTTGTATTCACTTAATCATTTCTCTGCAAAAATAGCGAAGTACTTTTACAGTGTATGAGTAAAAGTGATTTTTGTTGTTTAGAAAATTGAATGAGAATTTTGTTATTCAGAAATTAGAAGACAATTTTGTTATTCAGAAATTAGAATGACAATTTTGTTATTCAGAAATTAGAATGACAATTTTTTTATTCAGAAATTAGAATGACAATTTTGTTATTCAGAAATTAGAATTAAAATTTTGTTATTCAGAAATTAGAATGAGAATTTTATCCTTCAGACATTTGTTTCTCAAAAATGTGTCAGTTGACCTCAAATTGCTTTTTTAACATTTTCATTCTATTAATAAGCATGGGCCTATTATTTGAAGTATGAACAAAATAATATTTAATTTTTTTTAATTCAGCATCTTTAATTCTGTTCTCACCCTTGACATTTACCTGTCTGCTCTTGAGCTCTTGTGTCTGGACATTTTAATTTTCAATCTTCCCTTTAATGGCAAAGGACAGACTAATCTACCAGCAGACATAAATAAAATAAATAAATGAGAAAAATAGGCATCTGGCGATGTATTAGACATTATAACAATATACCGTTCCTTTGGTTCACAGAGTGCAGAGTATATATTTATGTTAAGCAGCAAAGCTGGTGGCTGTGGACTTAATCTTATTGGTGCCAACAGATTAGTGATGTTTGATCCAGATTGGAATCCAGCCAATGACGACCAAGCGATGGCTAGAGTCTGGCGAGACGGACAGAAGAAGCAGTGTTACATATATAGGTTATTATCTGTAAGTGTTATGTGCAGTCATAATTTACTTAATGAAAATATCAATCAGTGTGCTGCCTCGTCACTCTCCTTTGCAGAATCTTCGAGCTAATGACCTGACCTAGGGAGCCACATAGAGCCACAACTAGTGGGACGTTCCCTGGTGACTACCTAGCTTAGTGATAAAATACCCATAGTCTCTGCGACGGAGAATGCTGATTCATGTTCGATATGGGTCCCATGCTACATGTATAACACATGTAAAATACATTGTCTGTTTACACAAAATTTAACTGCACACAACATGACATCGGTAATACTTCAATAGTTGTTGTTGATTTGATGTAATCAGATTTAATTTGTATATATAAACGAAGGTACGGTAATCAAAGTCAACTTTGTGATTGATTAAGACACAATTCACAATTCAAAATAGATGTACTCTTGATAACATTGTTGCCCAATTGGTAGTGCATGAGCCTATTTAAATAACTGAACTGTGTCTATGGTCATTTTACCATATTTTCACATTTCAATAATTCAGTATATAAATCATTGTTTGGTTTATGGGCACTTCTAACTAATAGCTGTTAGTGTTATTGATGATATTCTCAGTCAATATCACTTTCATTTTAGATCATGTACAACAATGTAATCAAATGTATATGTCCACATACCAGAATTTAAAGGGCAAAGTAAAGTATATAATAATAATAATATTATTTATTTACCCAATAACAATAAGAAGTAGTGAAAAATAATAACAAAAGTAAGCCTCACACAAAAACAAGTACGGAGAAAAACAAATGGTAATATAAAAAAAATATATATATTGGGTAAAAAGGAAATCAGAAAATAGCTTACTGCTAGTCTAGTCTGATTTCCAATATACACTGGAAGTAAATTATAATGTATATAGTAGAGGAGCAAAAATGAGATTATTAAACTAACCAAATTAATAAATAATTAAATAAATGAATATGTAAATTAATACCAGCCATGGATTTCACTTTCCTCACTATGTGAAAGTCTATTAGACGGTAAAGCTGAAACATGTGACATCATTCTGCTGTAGAGAATAGAGACAATGTGCAGTATTTCTTTTTGTTTAACCATCTGCCCGAGATTCTCTGCCATCTAATCCGCCAAGCAACCAATGTTACAATATCCATATGTGTTCTATATCCAAAATCTCATAATATGTATACACTGTCATAGATGTGACAGATTATACAAATATACAGTTCATTACAAAGTTTTCTCTGGTTGCTACCATACGTTAATTTGATACCATTAAACATGAACAAAATGTGATGTCAGCAAATCATTCAGAAAAATGTTGTTAGCTGATTCACATACCTGCACGCAATTTAATGTTTTTATGGAGAAAGAAGGATGTGTTTCCATGTAAACATATGCAAAATAATATAGAAAGCAGCCATTTTGGAAAGTTTTCCATAGGATTCCATGTAAACACATTATTCCATGGATAACTCATGGATAACTCACACCACATATCATTTTGTATAGTATTGATCACTGAACAAAATTTTGAGATATAATGGAACGTTTCTGCCATAGGAACCAATTGTAAACTATACAAATTTTAGTTTGGTGGCCATATATTTTTATTTCAGAATTTTGAACATGAAATGTTGTGTCAAAAATATTGAGCTATATATGTACATATTCAGAATTATAAAGAAATATTTTTCCCTCACTGGGGAATGATGTGTTTTACCTCGTTGATGGATTGAAAAGAGCACCCTCGTATATTTCACATATTTTGGTTTGTCTTGGTAAGACACTAGGGACTGTATTTCAATGAACTCGGATTAACTGTGACAGGACTTGATATACAATGCATTACGCCATGTCACTTTTCATTGCATAAGCCATCTCCCAGTTGCAACAGTTCTGTGTAGTTGTATTTTCTACTGTATGTAGTGTTATCAGAACCATGATGTTATTATTCAGTCTTATCTCTGTATGTTGTTATGTCTTCTTTTTGAATTATTTTGTCATCGTGTGCCCTACTTCATGTGGAGGCTGCTTGTGTGCATAATACTGAGATATGGTAATGAATGCTTTCATGTCTTTTCAAAATACAATCAATTTCCAAAAGTTTTCACAGACAAAATGATCATTTGAATGAGATGATTGAACAGGACAGTTTAGAACCCAAGGCAACACTTGCAAAATGTTGTTGCCTTTGAGTTTGCCCTGTCTTTGTATCATACCTCTAGAACCACTCATTGCTTTTAAAGTCAATCAACGCGAATGGGATGATCTTCTCTTACTGATCGTAATGTTGATATGGCCTGGGAATTATTTTGAACCAAATTATAGATCAGGTTGCATGTATAAAGAAACTTAGATTAAAATCTGCCAGTGAACCATGGATGGATCAGTCTGCCAAGACCAATATTACAATGCAAGATAAATAGTTAAAATTGTGTAAAATAAAAACTATATTGAATACTATTTATTGTAATTTTTGAGAAATGCATGTACAAATGGCTAAATTAACTTACTTTGCTGCCACAAATTATGACAATAAATGCTATTCCATGAAATTATAGATTTTTGGAATTTTCTTACAGACTGGCACAATTGAAGAAAAGATATTTCAACGACAAGCTCACAAGAAGGCTTTGAGTAGTTGTGTTGTTGATAACGAAGAGGACGTTGAGAGACATTTCTCACTTGATGAACTCAAAGATTTATTTAAATTAAATGAGAACACACAGAGTGATACACATGATAAGTAAGTCTAATTCTCTAGATCTGTTCATATTGAATGAATAAGTGTGTTAACAAAACAGAAATGAATCATCAAACTTATTTCTATGGAGGTAATGATTGATATTATCTCTATAATTTTAATGCGTACTATATGGAAGCCATTTCAAAATAATTGTGAAGATTCAACTTGGTATTAGAGATGCTTAAATTGTTGTACTCGGATAACTGAAAAATGGAAAAATGCCTAATTGTATAAAATTTGGCAGGAAAAAAAAATATAGCTTTCAAAGGAATAGTGATATCATATATATGCAGTTTAGTTTTGTTTCAAGATGTGTTTAAATATCATCCAAAACCTTGAATATGTACACCACCACCATTTGATTTTAGAGGGGTACCTAACTGAGTTAACTTCTAATATTTCCATTAAAGTGTGCTTAATTTGGTAGATTTTATCATGATGCTGTTCAATTACTTTTGTTTTTAATTTTAAATACTCAACTCATTGGCCTTACATTGTCATCTATGGGTAGTGTATAATAGCCCTGCCTTACATTGG